GGCGTGCCGGCGGGCAGTGCCTTGGGGAGGGGAGGCTGGTGCAGACCCAGGCTCGGTGGGGAAGGAGGGCAGGGGCTCAGCGCCATTGACCCTGGCTGTGGTCAGTGTCTTGTGGTGCTGCTCGCATCCCCTGAGCATCTCCTGCTCGGGTCGGCACCACCTCCAGGGTTTGCAAGCATCCCCTCCTGCCAGCCCGGGACCAGAGGGAGGTGGCAGGCCTGGTTGTGGGCTGGAGATGCACGCTTTCTCCAGCTGGCCAGCTCTGCTTCTCCTTTCCTCCACCCTGGCACATCTGGGAGGATCTCACCAGCCCTAAACAAACAGGTGCTTTTTTTCTGCCTGGTTGTACTGGTCCCCAAAATCACCCCGAGCTCTGAGGTGCCTTGGTGCAGGAGAGCTGTGGGGAACTTTTGTGGGGCAAGGGCTCTCTGGGTTGTCCCTGCAAAGGCAGCCCCACCACCACCACAGCTTGGTGGAGCATCCTAGTTTGTTTTGCAACAGACCTGTCATCCCTGAAGGCTTTCACCCAGCAGGCCCAGGCTCTGCCTTTTGCTGGTGCAAGGTGACTTCAGCTGAGTTGTCACCTATGTGGCCAGCACCTCTTCATCCCACAGGGCTGCCCCGCAGGAGCGAGTACTCCTTGACCGACGGTGCTGCGGATTCACCCCATTTCCAGCCACTTGGTCTGAGGGATGCTTCTCTGCTCCAGCCTCACCATTCATCCCAGAAGCAGACTGTACTTTGCACATATTCCTCCTTCCCTGATCTAATAGCCAGCCCTCCTGTCTTCCAGGAAAGCCATTGCCAAGTCCAGCCTCCAGCACATGGTAGCCCAGCCAAACCCCGCACTAGCCCTGAGGAGCGACTCAGAGAGGCAGATACGCAGCACTGTGGACTGGAGCGTAAGTTGTAGCATGTTTTGCTGGGTGTTGCATGGAATGGGCTCCTGGCCAAGGAGCAGAAGGCTCTTCCCAGGCTGAGATTTCCCAGGTGACTTCGACTTTGACACATTTATGGCCTCCACCATGGCCACCAGCTGGTGCCAGCATCTGTGCTGCTGGCAGCACCCCTTGATACTGCACAGAGAGGCTGTGCAGGCACAGGTGGTTCCTGGGAGGATGGCATAGCTATTGCACTGCCAACTCTTCTGCTCCTGGCAGCCAAAGTCTTCTGGTGGCTGGGGCCAAGCAGCAGGAGCAAGCCCCTGCTCCTTTGCGGGCAAAGCCCGGCAGGTTTTAAGCCACATCTTCAGGTTGTAGAACAGAAGCTATTTCAGGAGAGTCTCCTATGTTGAATTTGCCCTGATGCCTCCTCTCAGGGGGAGATGGAAGCAGCCCCCCCTTTGCAGGACACTGCAGCTGGGCTGTGGGTCTTGGAGCTGGTTTCCTGGGGCCCCTCTTGTTTACAACAGGTGGGCCAGGGCAGCAACTTCATATGGTTTCCTCTGTCCAGATGTTTGCCCTGGTTGTTCTGTGCATCTTGTCTCTCGGTCTATACCTACCTCCAGCCACCTTCTCCCAGCCTGGTCCCACTATCTTGTCCCTTGCACAAAGTGTTTTAGGGGCTTGGATGCACATCTGAGGGTGCTCTCAGAGAAACACGTTGTCTTGTGCCTTTCAGGAGACTGCGGTCTATGGTGAGCACATCTGGTTTGAGACCAATGTCTCTGGGGACTTCTGCTACGTTGGGGAACAGAACTGTATGGCGAAGCTGCTGGTGAGTCCCCGGGGGTCACCCACCTCCCTGGCAAGGGCCACAGATGTGAGCTGTGATGCCACCCAGTGGGGACACCATGAAGGTTCTCCTGCTGCTGCCAGGGGAAACCTGGGGGCTTGGGGGGCTTGAGGTGATATGATTATGACATTCCAGGGAGAGGCTGTTGGGATCTCACACCCTTAGAGGGACAATCTGAATTCAAGACCTTTCAATACAGGAGAAAAGTGAGCACTGGAGACCTGCTGCCTCCTGACCCTGCAGGCAGCACTGATCTCACAGGGTTGCTGCAGTCCTCCCTCCCAGCTTGCAGGCTTGGTCCTGCTGGTGGGGCAGGACACGGAGCACTGATGCCATCCTGTGCCTGTCCATGGAGCTTACCATGGGAGCTCTGCGAGTGCCTCCCAGACCAGCTTCCCTGGTGCTCTCAGGCAGTGTGGGAAGAGTCCAAGGGCTGAAGGACAGGACACCAGGAGAGCACCTCCTGCTCTGTCCCAGGCTTGAGAGCATCTGCTCCAGGCACACACTTAGATCGCTTTACTTACAAGGAGTCTAAATGTATATAATTTTCCTACAGGATTTGTTCTGCATCCTGAAAAATGTGGAGGTGTGAAGGGAGGCTGAGCTTGCCAGCCTCTGAACACTACTATTCATATGCATGTCTTTCCTCCCCTTTTCTCATCCTCCAGCAAAAGCCTCTCTCCAGGCGTAAGTGTGCAGCCTGCAAGATTGTAGTGCATACACCCTGCATCGAACAGCTGGAGAAAGTGAGTAGAGCCCTCTCTGTGGCTTGCAGAATTGTAACAGCCTTTTCCTGGGCAACCCTTCCTCTTGGGTAGTGAAAGACAAGAAGGTTGGGGAACTGCAATGTGTCATCGCAAAGAGGAGTCTTCTGAGGGAACGATACCAAAAGGAGCATCTAGTGACATGATTGGGAGCCTGGCTCTGTTTTGTTCAGTAACAGAGTGTCCTGGTTTTGCTAGGATAGAGTTAATTCTCTTCCAAACCACCACACAGAGATCTGTGAGGGCTTTTGCAGCAAGCATCAAACATCTCCAGAGGCTCTGGGCCTGCTGCAGTAAGATAAACCCCAGTAGGTTTCCTTTGGCTATGATGGTTTTACTGATTTCCTTTTATGTGTGTTCAATCTACAGATAAATTTCCGCTGCAAACCTTCCTTCAGGGAATCAGGATCCCGGAACGTACGGGAGGTGAGAGATGTGCCTGAGACACTGCCCACGTCTGATCCCCCTCACCTTCCCAGTTTGATGGCAGAGGTGTTGGATGCTGCCAGCACGTTGCTGTCAGAGTTCAGGTGTCGTGCTGCCTCCTGGCTCCAAGGGGATGCCGCAGTCAAAGGGATGTTTCTTTGCAAGACAACAGCACAGACTGGGTGTGAGGAGCCAGGAGCCCGCAGGCAGCATGTGCAGAGCATCTGCTGGTTTGCATGTTCTAGAGCTCCTGTATCTGCACAGGAGGAACCTGCAAGCAGTATATTGTGAGAGTTTTTTATTCCCCTTGTGGAAGCAAGTAGAGGAGGCTGTGGCAGACAGCAGGTCCCCAAGTCTCCCACAATTTGGTAGGGGGCAATACAGACTCACTTCTTGTTTTATTGCTCAGCACTGACCTGGGTGCCACAGGTACTCCAGGTAGCAGTGGAAGATGCCCACAGTGGTGTTGTCAGACCCTTTAGCCCACATTTTAATGTACTGGGCATAAGCAGTGGCCTGGGACCTGTCTGCTGAGAGCTGCACTGGTGGAAGGACCTGTCAGTCTTCATGCTTCACCCTCCAGCCTGTGGAGCCAGTTTAGCCCACATGGTGCTCTGGAGTGAGTGTGGGTGGCTCAGCCATGACCACAGCTGCTGCCCCCACCCCATGTTCATGTTGGCACAGCAGACACTGTAGGTGAAAGATACTCAAACACAGTACTGCTTGCTCAGAAATGCTGGTGTGACCTCGTAAGATGAAGTTTTCAACATCACTTTAAGCCTGCCTTTCTTTTCTTCCTTTGCTTCTCTGACCATGCAGCCCTCCTTCTTGTGTCGCTCTTAGTCCAGCTCCTTTATTTGTCCTTCACTTTTACCTTCTCCCAGAGGGCTGGGACTGGTGCATGTGAGCAGTGGACGTGCTGCAAGAGCAGAGGTTCTGTCTGGCCTGGGTCTGTTCCTCCTGCCTGTTCCTACCTTCTCTCACATGCTGGGTCTTTCACTTTCTTTTTCTTTTCCCTTTAGCCCATAGTTGTCCGGCATCACTGGGTTCACCGGAGGCGGCAGGAAGGGAAATGCCGGCAGTGTGGCAAGGTAAGAAGGCATCTTTTTTTTTTTTTTAATTTTTATTTTTCCCCCTGACTCAACATGAAGGAAAACTAAGCTCAAATCAGAGACAAGAACAGGGCTGGGGACCAGAGACATCCCACTGTTCTGTTTGGCAGCAGCAGCCTACAGCAACACCAAGACACATGCCCTGTTTTGCACAGTGAAGCCATATAGGGCATGTGTCTTGTTCTCTCCCTGGGCCAAATCAATCCTGGAGGGCACTGTCTTCCTGACATCCTTTCCTTGGGCAATAGGGACACTCCTGCAGAGCGCAGTCGCCTCCCTGGTGCTGTAGTGGTGGCTGGAATTCTGACAGGGATCCAGAGGTCTCCAGCTGTAGGCATGCTCTCTTTGTTAATGTCCTGGTGGTAGAAAAGTCTTGTTGGAGGGTAGAAAGCTGTGAGGGAATTCCCTAAGCCTCTTTTCCCATGCTCCACAGGGTTTCCAGCAGAAGTTTGCCTTCCACAGTAAAGAGATTGTAGCCATCAGCTGTTCCTGGTGCAAGCAAGCGGTGAGCAAAGCCCCCATTGAACATCTATTGATATGTGGGGGCCAAATGGATGGGGCCGGGCTCTTTTTGGTGGTGGCTGGTGACAGGACAAGGGGCAATGGGCAAAAAATGGGACACTGCAAGTTCCAGACAAACTTAAGTAAAAACTTCTTCACTGTGAGGGTGCCAGAGC